GGGCTCGCCTTCCAGCGGGGCCCTCTGAGGCTTCCGGTCGGAGCCGGAAGTGGTGGTTACTAAGGCAACGCCAAGCGGCCCGAGCCGGGTGGAGCAAGCTCCTGCGTTTGCGTTGCCTGGACGCTGCTTCGCTCCTACGCAGGGACTCCTGGTTACCTGAAGAGTGACCTAGAGGAGGCCTGAGGGTGTCGCGGCCCCAGCCGCAAGCGTTCCCGGAGCTTCGCGCCTTCCCACGGAGCCCAGGCCCCGGGAAGCGGGTGGAACCCCGGTCGGTCGCTGCAGCTCGAGAACCCGCGGGCCCCGTTGCCCCCAGCGCCGGGCCTGCTCCCCGAGAGCCGTGCGGCTTTCGTGCTGGTGGACGGAACCCGCAGGGCGGAGATACGCCCGTTCGTGGTGTTTCTTCTCAGGAGAGCTGAGCAAGGTGGAGAATTGCTAGGAGTGTCGAACACCGTGGCCGCCCCTGGCCTTGGACTCTTGCAGATCAACGGCAGGAGGAAAAGCGCGCAGGTTAAGGTGTGCGGGACCCTTCAGAATGAACACCCAAAGATGCAGGGGAAATGGTCTGTTTTTATGTTTAGGTTCAACAAGGTGTGGACAGCCTTGTAGAACTGGAAAACGACGGTGTGACCTTGCGTTGAGCGGGACACCAGGACAGCCTGTCGATCTAGATTACTTCTGGCCTCTGAATGTACTTCCTTCCCTCCGGTGTGGGGCAGGGCCCCTCTGGAATGGGTGTCCTGTAGTTAATCGATGTGGGTCCGATAATTTCTTTATGGCCAGTTCTACACAAGCTGCTTTTAGGTTTATGGCTGGCTTCAGAGGGGGAGAGAGATTCTGATTTCTATTGCTGTCCTGTGGAGCAGGAGAAGGTCAGAGAAAAACTTTTACTTGTGAGGCTGCTTCTGACATCTTTCATTTTGGGTACAGTTTTCTGAGCCCCAGTGACTGAAAGATTGTTATCTAAGGAAATCCTAAAAGGGTCCATCATGAACACAGTAGACGCAAAAACAGATTACAGTGAAATTGCACCCCTGAACTTCTTGTGAGGCTTACAGACATGCAGCTGCACCCATTCTGTGGCAGTAAGTTTATAAAATGTACCCCCAAAACTACAAGATCAGATCAACTATTTTTATAGTCTTGATTCCGTTAGTCAGGCTGCCCCTAACATTTGGAGGCTGGGTTAAGAGTACAAATGGAGACCCACATACTATATGTTTAAATACTTAAAAGTTATTAAACAAGTAACAAATCACTAAGTAAAATATGTCCTTCATTGACAAATATACCTTCATAATGATATAGAAGGCCAGGTTCACTTTCAGAATTCTTAGACTCCTTAGAATACCTGGAAACACAGCTGAAATACAGTTGAGTAGGAGAGAACTATCCTCCTGGTCTTTTCCCACTCAAATTATTTTCTGGATTCTGGCTCTCACACTGCTGCAAGGGGCCTTGCATACAATGTGTGAATACTCCAAGCCACATCCAAATGTTGCCCATACCCCTGCAAACACCCATGCCTTAGCTGCCCATGGGGTCTAAGAATGCTCACATTAGCAGCTGACTCTCTCCTGAGGAGAAAGCTGAGAAAGCCTTACTCAGGGCCTGGCATCATTTGGGCAACAAATTCCAGGGATATAAGTAACCTGAATGTGGTCTAGACTCTAGAAGAGAGAAACTAGGCTTTGGGTAAGTTTATCCACTTGGCTTCACAGACTACTTTCTTCCAGAGTAAAGGGCCTGGAAGAAAACTGGAAGTATTCTCTTAAGGGTGTGACCCAAGACAGCAATACTGCAATCAATAGAATTTACTGAGTGCTAACCATAGACCAAGAAGTGTACTGAGCTCTGTGCCCAGGGTGATAGGTTAATAAGGGACATGTTAAAGTGCTGATAAGTACAACACAGTGGTATGTTAGATGATAGAGACAAGTTCAGGCTACTTTTAAATGCCAATTTATATAATCTTTATACCTATAATTCTGCCTTTTCTAGGATATATAAATTGAATCATATAATAAGTAGCTTTTTCCCTCTGATTTCTTTCACTAAGCACAATGCATTTAAGTTTCACCTGTCAGTGGTTTGTAAATTGTTATTTCTATGTTGTATTTTTTATTCCACAATGTGGATTTATCATAGTTTGTTATCCATTAACCAACTGAAGTTGTCCATTTGGGGCAATTACAAATAAAGCTCCTCTGGTATAGGTTATTTATAAATAAATACACAAATAAGTAAAGGTCCTATAGATATTTAAGTTACAGATTTTCATATGAAACATAAGTTTTTATTTTCCTTGTATAATAGGAATGTGATTGCTGAATCATGTGGTATGTTTAACTTTGTAAGAAACTGCCAAACTATTTTCCAAAGTGGCTGTACCCACACAATGTGTGAAAGATTATCTATTGATAAACATTTGGGTTGTTTCCAGTTTGGACCTCCTACCAATAAAGCTGTAATGACTGTTCATGTACAAGTCTTTCTATGGACACATGTTTCCAGTCCTCTTTTGGCACTTGGAGTAGAAAGACTAGATTTTATGGTAGTGTACGTTTAACGTTTTAAGAAATCTCCTAACTATTTTTCAGACTGGTCATACTATTTTAGTTTTCTAGCAGCAGGGCATGAGCATTCTAGTTCCTCTACATGCTTGACAATATTTGGTAAGGTCTGTCTTTTTAACTTTAGGCATTTCAATATGCCTACATGTACAGTGGTATCTCATAATTTTAATTTGCAGCTTACTAATGATTAATGATGCTGGCCATTGTTTTATGTGCCTCTTTGCCATCTCTGTTTCTTTGGTTAAGTATCTGTACAAATTTTTTGCCCATTTTAAAAACACTCTCAATAAGTTCTGAGAGTGTTTTAAATATTCTGGATACAAATACTTTATCAGATAGATGACTTGCAAATATTTTCACCCAGTCTATGGATTACCTTTTGTTTTCTTAACATTGTCTTTTAAAGAGCATAAGTTTATTTTTGAAAAGGTTTGAATGACCAATTTGTTATTTTTAGATTTTACTTTACTGTCGTATCTAAGAAATCTTTGTCTAAGTAACAATTGCAAAGGTTTTCTCCTATTTTTTTCTCCTGGAATTTTTATAGTTTTTTTGTTTGTTTCTTCTTGTTTGTTTTGTTTTGTTTTCTGAGACAGAGTCTCACTCTGTCACCCAGGCTACAGTACAGTGGTTCACAGCAACATCAAACTCCTGGGCTCAAGGCATCCTTGTGCATCAGCCACCTGAGTGGCTACAGGTACCTGCCACTGCACCTCTGGGTATTTTCTTATTTTTAGTAGAGACAGGGTCTCTCTCTTGCTCAGGCTGGTCTCAAATTTCTGACCTCTCACCTTGACCTCCCACAGTGCTAGGATTGCAGGTGTGAGCCACTGCGCCCTAGCTCTGGAGGTTTTATAGTTTTAAGTTTTACATTTAGGTCTATGATCCACTTTTGAGTTAGTTTTCGCATATGATGCAAGATATGAATCCAAGTTTTTTTTTTTGCTCTGTGGATATCTGATTGCTCCAGCATTATTTGTTACAACAACTATCCTTTTCCACTGAATCTTCTTTGTACCTTTGTCAGAGATAAGCTCTTTGTGTTATGTGTGCACCTAATTCTAGACTTTGTATTTGGTTTAGTTGATCTGTTTTTTTGTTTTTGTTTTTTACTGCCCACAGTATTTTTTTTTTTTTTTTGAGACAGAGCCTCTAGCTGTTGCCCTGGGTAGAGGGCCATGGTGTCACAGCTCACAGCAACCTCCAACTCCTGGGCTTAAGCGAATCTCCTGCCTCCACCTCCCAAGTAGCTGGGATTACAGGCACTCGCCACAACGCCTGGCTATTTTTTTGGTTGCAGCCGTCATTGTTGTTTGGTGGGCCCAGGCTGGATTCGAACCCGCCACCTTAGATGTATGTGGCTGGCACCTTAGCCGTTTGAGCCATAGGTGCCGAGCCCCACAGTATTTATTAATGTTTATTTATAAAGATAACAATTCCTTAGCCCACATGTTCCTGTTTCATACACAGCTCGGGACAAGTTAGTAACATACTTCTATATAATTCAATCCAAAGAAATTCTTTATATTCCAAAATCACTTTGCACTCTGAGAGATCATGGATCATAATTTCTGTAGAAATCTGTCTTCTTTTTTGGTTCAGCAACAGCAAACTTATAGAGCAGCTACCTTCAGGAATACATTAAATGATCCAAAGATATGAAACCGCAGGTACCTGGCCAGAAGGTATCTGGAAAAGCACTGGAAGCCATGGTACTGTCATTGGAAGGACTATCAACTTCAATATGTTCTTCCTAGATGATGGAAAAGTGGACTCTGTTTGTTTTGATGCCAGTGCCATACTGTGTTGCTTAATATAGCTGTGTAAAAAGTCTTGAAATTAGGTAGTGTTAGTCCCCCAGTTCTATCCTTTTTCTAAGTTATTTTGGGTTAGATGCCAAAATATAGGTGCTTTGTATTTCTTTTTTTTTATGATGCCACAATTTTTTTTATTAAATCATAGCAGTGTACATTACTACTATCATGGGGTACAGTGTACTGTTTCTGTATATAATTTAAAATACTTGCATCCAACTGGTTTACCTAGCCTTCATGTCTTTTTCTTATTTATTGTGTTAAGACATTTATATTCTACATTTAGAGAGATTCACATGTAAACTTTTAAGATGAACCATAGGCATGATCCCACCACCTACCCTCCCCTCTCCCCTCTCTTCCCTCTCCCCATATTCCTGGGCTAAAATTGGGTTATAGCTTTCCTATAAATTATAAATTAGTTTCATAGTAGGGCTGAGTACATTGGATACTTTTTCTTCCATTCTTGGGATACTTGCTAAGAAGAATATTTTCCAACTCCATCCATGTAAACATGAAGGATGTAAAGTCTCCCATCTTTTTTAATGGCTGCATAGTATTCCATGGTGTACATATACCACAATTTATTGATTTATTCATGGATCGATGGGCTCATGGGCTTCTTCCATGACCTAGCAATTATGAATTGGGCTGCAATAAACATTCTGATACAAATATCTTTATTGTAGTGTGATTTTTGGT